AACGAAATAGAGTGAATTCATCTCATATTATTGGAATGTAAACAAGTGAAAAGTTGTGATAGGGCGACAATGGGATAAGAGGGTAAAGAGTAGATAGATAGGCCAGGACAGAAAGAGGAGTGATATTGTAACCGTTTTCGGCAGAACGTTTGTCGAGGGATTAGCTTCACTTGTCTCTTTGACGAATTCGTATCTTAGTGCGGAGAATGGCAAGGCTCACTGATGCTGCCGGCGAAACGTTTGAGAATGTATCAAGTCCATTGTCAGATGCTGGGAGTCATGACAACTACTATAGCAGATGACTTCGAACTAGGTGCGTTCTACATAGTCGCCCTGACAACAAGACCAAGTTTTAACAAAGGGGTCAACCCATTTCGTTAAAAGCAGAGATTTCCGTGTTCGCAAATGTCAAACGAGCTCATGCACTTTAAAGGGTCACACCAGCCAGGCTTACTTGAGGCAAAGTTGAAGGTGACGGTGCTGCCGTCTCGGTCTATTGCGCCGGCTTGATAGAAAGCAGTCCTTAAGGGAAAGTTCCTGGGCACTTTCACCAGATCCGAGCTGATGAAAGTTGGCGCCTGATTATTCGCGTTGGTCACTGGGATGCGAATCAGTGTTGTGGCACTACCCGGTGGACTGGAGGCGGTCAGGATGACCTCGTAGAATGGCCGACCGAATGGCAGCGCGTCGTAACTCAGCTCCCTGAATATGGAAACATACAATAAGACGTGGATCACCAGAAGTGTGGGAAGCAACCTAAATAGTATCAAGCACCTAATGAGAATTACGAGGTTTATGCTACCTCTAAAGCACAAATATAATTGCAATCATTAATTAGTATACAGATAGTTTGCATTGGATGATTGGTCTATATTCGGATTTAATCATAGTTTGGGTGACTGTATCAATGATCACAATCTGTATTGAGGGAATGTTTGAAAGGCCAATCTTCCACTCTTCACAGCTCACCTTAGCCGGAAAAAGCTAGAATAGGATGACGGGGAGAAGAGGATAGGAAGAAAGTTACACTTGTTCGCTCAAGATAGTTTAAAGACTTGTAGTGACTTTTAATCCACAATCAGTTGGGCTACATCTCTCGTCGCGGCCAACCAGTAAGTATTTAACTCTCAACTTACGCAACATCATCCGGAACTCGCGGGAACTAAACAAACCTAGCCACTGCATCAAGCCTCTCTGATGAACCATTCAGAATATGAGATTAAGAGTATTCAGAAGTATTTCAAGGCCAGAAACTCTTTTGAAGGAGGGCCGCTTCTCTGTGAGCCGTTGTGACTTTGTGGCCGAACACTGTTTTCTTTTACTCTCGCCACACTTCGCCATCGTCTTTACTTTTACGGCCCCGATACCTCGCCTGTAGCGCTTCTTGTTGCATACAAGCGATACTCTATGACTCATTTTTTTGTTTCTATATACGAGGCCGGGATACTGTATACAATAGCGCGAGGCGACCGCATGTTTTGCAATCACATCCGACTAAAAATGGAGTTTTTTGCTTAATTGCATGAGTATGCCTCACAGTGCATCTGAAAGGCTATTTTCATCCTTTCTGGAATGCAGTTTTGATCCCGCCCAGATCTCAACAACACCTCTAACGGGATTCGAATCCGGGAAATGCGCAGTGGCCACACATTATTATTCTGCTGCACAGTCACGGAGCAGATGACACATTCCACTCAAGCCAGACGCCCCCAAAGCTCATTCATGGTGGTACTTTCGATAAAGAAAATATATATTTGCTAGTTGAATCGATGACATTACTTATTTTAGATGTGAGTAGATTTCGAAATAATTAGTAATTCATGAATAAGACCTGTGTCAACTTAGGTCAGTTAAGATGAGTTAATCGCTAATAATAGAGTTTTTCCCACAATGTTATGAGCAGGCCTCTCGATGCCTTCCAAACCAAGCAGTACTTCCTGAAGAATAAATTTATTGTGGCAACAACCTCACATCAAGGGCGGCTATGGTTGCTTACTTCATTTTCAAGAACTTAATAGAAGACTTGACACATATTCACATCAAAAAAGGAGCTATTTCCGTTCACAGTGGCTCGGTTTTAGAAGGGTATTGCAGTATTTTTACCTTCCCCTCAAAAAAATATTCATACTCTGATAGGCATGTTGTAGTGAATTACACTTCAACTAAATCTATTCTTCAAATGAGGCTTCACCAATTTTTTTCTGAATAGAAATATGGTAATGGCCTATTAGGATACTCGCCAGACAGCGGTTCTTAAACACATAACATAAGCTACACTAACATCGAGTGCTGTGATGTTCAATGTGGGAAAACATCCATGGAAATAGACAGATCAAGCAACACACTCGCAAAAGGGGTACTTTGTATTAAGGACTGTCTCGCCGGCACATCGTATTCGTGCAATGCGATTATGGAAAACGCAAAATGAAACAGACATCTTCACACTTACAGGGACGTTACAATTCGAGCTGCACCGCTTGGAATTCTGAAGACTTCGAAGTGTGCCGAGTTGGGCCCGGAAAGTGAATAATCGTACACTTTGTTTTGGGGCAATTCGTCCCTGTCTTCCGGTGTAACTGAGGTACAAAAAATATTTTAAAAATTTTACTGTTAATAATATCTAATAATATTCTGGACAGGATAGTTGTACTCGCTTGCCAGCGATATGGGGCTTATAAATGAGGGGGTGGGGGAGTTTTGATTTCACTATTTTCGGCCTAGCAAAAAATCAGATCTGTTAAAAATATCCGATTCATTTGTCAATCTATTTCTTCATTGTAACTATTGCAGTTGTACTGTACTCTACCTGTATCACGGTTTATAAGCGAAAGTTTGATGCGATGTTGCAGAAGTTTGGTAATACTTTTTTAATGTAGGGATTTTTGTTAGCTGTTATATAATGGCTTATTTTTTCATATAATTTGCTTCCTTTGTGTGCCTCTGCAGTTATTTTTAGTCGCTTATGGATAAAGTTAAGATTATGCTTTTCTTGAATTCGCTGTTAGCCTATCTTTTGTTTCTCAATTTGGTCACAAATTTTGATTCAACATCATGTGATGAAGTTTTTTTTACAAGGTTTTGATATAAGAAGTTTGTTTTTAAAAGGCCAGTGAAACAAATGATCGATGCCTCCGCCTTGATGGCCTACAATCAAATATAGATGACATAATTCTTGAACATAGGCAAGGGAGCAACAAAACCCGATTCGTCTGGGAACTCAAGTTTGGAAATCTTAGAAAGCATATTTGTTATTGGCTTTACGAGTTCTTGAAGTGGAATATTGGGAACTTATTTCGGAGGATTTTATTCTGTAATCTGTGACTACACAGAATGCCAAAGCAAACTGATTCTGGCCGTTATAGCGTCAGTTTTGTCAAATCTACAGAAGAGGCCACTTGAGGTGCCAGACTTGCGCAATGTCCCAGTCGTCGTGTGACTATAAACGAAGTTAACATGCATCCTTGTGCCCACTCCGTAGAAAGCCCGTAAAAGCTGTGAACACTAACAGTTCAGCTGCAACTCGTCCTTCCAAATCTTTGCCCTCCTTAAGAGCCATAGTATACCATGAAAAGTAGCTTATGCGATTGCTTCTCTTATTCCGTCATGATCTTTAAGTATGAAAATCTTGTATATTCTAGCAAAATCACAGAGGTTTGTGAGACAGTGAGGCCTAGTGTGCCTGAGATGAAGATGCTATACTACAACGTCATAGAGCAAACGAAATCACTATACCCTCTTCATCTTTGCATCTGCACGACCATCTCTCTCACATCTAGCCTACACAACACGCTAGCCATCTTTTGGCGAAATTATATGGTTGCTGGCCCACAACTACAGGGTGTGAGCAAAAATCCTTATTGATTCTTGACAATCGACCCTCACGCCTAGGAATGTAGATAAAGAAATCTTTTTCGCAGCCTAAGCGACGGAGCAGGCTGATTATCAGCTACAGTTGAATGAGGCTTAATATGGACCCTGGACCTAATGCAGGTGGGCAAATGGAAACCCAAGGTCACGGGTGGTGAAATAATGGGAAGGACACCGGGTCAGCTGAGACGCAGTGAGAACTGACATCGCAAAGTTGGCACCGATTACGGCATCGCCGGAAGAAACGAAGAGGAGCTGACGCAGTATTCTGTTTTATCACGGCCTCTTTTTTCAATCTGATTATCTTATTCAGGCTCAGCAACTTCAGGTGCCGATCTGCCTTGAGCCATTTCTTTGTTCACATGCCACTCATCGAGGCCAGCGTGTAGAATAAATAAAATAGTTTCCCACTTTTACTGGCAAATAAATCAGCTTCCGGGTGAAAGCAATTAATACGAGATGTATACACCCAATTTCG